GTTAGTTTGTGATATATTCAATAGGAGGGGTGTTAGCACTGTGCACTGTAAAGGATGATGTACTGTAGTTAATACTTGTAATTCTCTAACCCTAATACTGTTTATTCTATAACCAAGCCCATGCACCCAGAGTATGACTGCTTGCAATGCTATTGAGAATAGAACACATGTACAGTAGTCAGTTGTACAATGGTGACAAGTACAGTACGTATATTGTACACAAACAGTACAGGTAATGGGTGTAAGATACGATATAAGTGCATGGTATAGATAGACATACACCTTAGGATTAAAGTAAGATTCGAATAGTGAAGTGCAAAGGTTATTGTCAAAGACAACGATGGTTTATCAGTAGTAGACTTGGGTTTAAGAGAAACTGTTAATGATTAACCGGACTTGTACACCAGCCACGTTGTTAATGGCGACTCGGGCTGAGGATTGCTGCGTGTGACAACACCACGTGCTGTTGCATTTTACAGATTGACCACGATAAATGTGTTTGCCCTCGATTTGGAGCACCTGTCCACGTCCTTCATTTCGCGTGTGCAACACGAATCGTGTTGTGGGTTAGTCGCAGTGGCAGTGTGGGTAGGTAGGTCGATGGGCAGAGGGGTCGGCCGTTCGTGTGGCCGCGCTGCATCCGTGACGCCTCTGCGCGCGTTTTTTCTGTTTGTTGGCGCAGTCGAAAGGGAGCTGTCGCGTGGAGTTGTAATCTGGGCTACAGCCAAAGACGAACATTTCCTCACACCCCCGTATCGCCTTCACAGACTGTTGGGAAAAAAGTGCTGTTAGCGAGCGGCACCCATACCTGTCAGCCCCTTATTACAGACCAATTCAGAGCTTATTGGTCACCCCGTGCCCCTTATGAATCTCAATTGTTCATCCTCCAAAATCACCATCACAAAGCGAGAAACACCAAAGAAATAGACCAAAACAAATGTGCCCGTATTAAAACGGCTGTACGCCGTACGGACCTGAAACACTCAAATGTCCCTGTACAAAACTACGGGGTAATAAACCGTGTGCGTTGACAGCTATGAGTGCCTATGAAGGCCCGAACGGTACACGAGGTGGTTGTGGGGGTGGCCAACACCCACGTGCGGCCGCCTTTGTCTCCCCCGTTACCAATGTTGGTGGCCGTGAGCGGGCATGGAATTTGGGTAGCCGGGTTCATAGCGCAGCACGCTAACCACTACCACCACCACCATCACCCACGCACACTAGAGTACTTGCATACACACATTCACACACACACAGTACATACATCACACGTACTATGTATACACGTCCTATGTATACACGTACGCGCTGTACGCTACACATGCACACGTAAACAGATTCATAAATACAGTACATACATCCATAATTACATCCACACACACACGATTCATGCATATATACATACGCACATAAACACACACGCAAACTGACTGACACATACACAGTATATAGATTTACACGCAAACTCGTACGCACACAAATAAGCACGTACGCAAATACTCAAAAGCGTACACACGTAGTAAACACGTGCGAATGTTACATGCGTTTGAGTGTGTACTGCGCTATGCACGTCGTAGGTGCTCGCCTCCATAGGTGTTACTCGATAACAGCACTTGCCCCAACAGTCTGTTAAGGCTATAGGGGTGATCTTTCTCTTTATGCTATGAACCCGGCGGTTGCTTTGGGTCGGCATTGCGTGGAGGAGATGCACGCTGTGTGACCCTTAACCACTTCCTCCAACGCGCCCATCCTTATCGATGCCTCCCCAGCAGAATTTCCTCCGTCCAACGTAGTTTAATTTCCACGGTGTTTGTTCTGCAGCGGTTCCATTATGGTCGGAATTTGACCGGAGTTGTGTAAATTTGGGTTGCAGAATCAGAATCTTTCTTGAGACTGGAGGAGGAATCCGATGAACTGTGAAGCTTTTTTTATACAGATGTCCAGTATGGGCGGGTCAGCAAGTTGCAACAACAAACAAAACGAATATATGAAAGACGTGCAAAATAGAGAAAAAGTTAACTAAGTCACTACATAAAAAATCTAGAAATGATTCAATATAAGTCCGATTTATCAAGCTGGGGCAAGGTAAGAAAAACAACAAGAAAACAGTCCCAGACCACACCAAGATAACACACAGGAGTACTCCCTCCATCAAATGGCACATTGACCTATCGACACACAGGTAAGAATCGTAGTTACAAATCACATTTTAAAACGGCATAACCAACATTCCAATGGATAGTCTATTGAAAGTGGGGGGGGGGGGCGACATAAAAAAATAATGTTAAAGAAAAGAGCAATGAAAAGGAATGAACATGTAAAACAAAATATAGGATACACAACTGTAAAATAACATTTAATGGAAGATGTCAGAACAGGCAAAGGAAGGCATGGAAGCGACAAAAGGAAGTGGATGATCGGTAAATCACAAATAGAGGCCATTACAGATCATCATATAAACGCAATGCATAATAGAAAAACAAAATGCATCATAAAGTTAGTGGTGACATTTTGCACAGATATTTAAAGCAAAAATAGAATCTCAAAACAAATCATGTGTAGGGGAGAAAGGGTGTTCCAGGAAATCATCAAAGAAGCAGCAGCAATAGCAGCTGTTGAATCAACATTATTACAGCTATTTACCAAGGGTTTACACAAAAATCTAATGCTGTACCTCAATTCTGCAAGAAGAATTAAAACCATTGGCTTCTTATGACAAGTGCACTGTCTATGTACAATGTGCATATGTGATGATCTGTACAATATATAGACTGTTTACAAAGATTACAAAGAAGAAATTAATGGTCAATTGATTGGTTGGTGGTGTATGTGTAGTGACACAGCGCTGACTGCTGTACAGCAGCTGCAACTGCAGGTGGACACTTAGCGCACACGCCATTGAGCATATACACGGTGTGTGTGTGCCGGCAGGGCGGAGGAACTGGGGCAAGGGTCACGACAGACCTCGTGGGAAGGCCCCTGGAACCCTCTGGTGGGTTCGAGAAGGGGGGCGCGGCTAGGGCGGAGCCAAGCCGCGTCGAGGGGAATATAAGCAGCGGAGAGCTCCGGGCTGCCGGTTCTGGGAGTGGACTCGTCTCGTCGTCGCTGTCGCCTTCGCCACCTTCGCCGCTGCCACCTTCGCCTGATCATTGCGTGGCCGAACAGTTGTTGGCTGTCTCGGTTGACGCCATCGGTGCAACGCGCACAGGGTCGTGTCTGGGCCGGGTTGTACGGCAGCGTAGTCGTGAGAGAGGGGGGCGGAGTTTGTGGCGTGAACAAAATAAAGGAAGGACGGTGCCTCCTGCGACTACCTCGTCTCCGACTGAGTGTGTGTGCAACGCACGCCACCCGCAAACACACGCCTCGACAAGGGAGAGAGAGAGGTAGAAGAGACCTACGACACTACACATGTTTGTTATGCAACACTGAGGTGTCATTCGCTGTCTTTGCTGGGAGAAGGCAATCCAGCAAAGTGTAGATCAATATAACCTGTCCCTTCTGTGTGGGCAGAGGCGTCTATACGGTGAATCGGGGCGACTGCCCCAGGCCTCGCGCTTTGGGGGCGGGGGGAGGGCGCTTCGACATCCCGGGTTCAGATGCAATACTTGGCGGTTTAGTTTGCGGGCATCGGGGGACCCACACAGCGTGCTTTACCCCAGGCCCCGCACCCCCCCCATGGACGGTCCTGTGTGGCGATAGTGTTATGCCCCCTCACACGCGTGCTCCGGTTTCTTCCCACATGTACGAAACACCGTTAATTGGTTGAATACATATATAGAGGACTGCAGAGCTTGGGAAATTGTTGGTAGCGGCGGTTCACCACTGTGCTGCCTTCCAGCTTTTATGTCGTTCGTCAGCGATGATAGTAGGATGCAATTTGCATGAAAGGCGCTATGTGACAAATTAAACTTTATTCTTATTAATTGGTCCGGACCATCAGGACAACTGAGGTGACCAAGCGACCTCTCAGCCTACCATTATAATTTTGTGCGGTTTATGTTAGCAGCCAATGAATTCGACTCACTATGCATTGTGAACAAGAAGACAACAGAGATATATTTATCGAGGAGGAAAAAAAACTAATTTACATGTTTTTCACGGCAAGTGCCAAGCGAATTATTTAGAAGAAAACAATCCACTCACGAATTCCACCACGGCATTGGATCCCTATTAATAAACCCATTAAAACAAAAACCACCCCACAAACAACGAGACGGATGAAGCCTGCGCTTAGTGTATTTCGTTTCTACCGAATCTCGATTCGTGAGTGTGACACGCCGGGCGTTAGGGGGACGGGGGGGAGGGGTGGAACCGCGCGTGCCGCAAAGCGCAAGAGCGCCGCAGTGTTCACGAATTCGTGGTGCGCACAAGAGCAGCGCGCGGGGCGACCGGCATAACGGGCGTTCGTTACGGCTTGCCAGTGCGCGTAGCCTCTGGCACAATGGGGGTACATTGTGGGACATCGCGTCATGAGCGCGCGCTCAGCAAATAACGCGTACACCACCGCCCCCCCCCCGCTCCCCCCGACGTGTCATCGCGTGGACACGGCGCATGACAAAGGGGCCGAGTTGTGGCGGGCGGCCGTGATTGCGCAGGACACGAAGAGGCCCCGTAGGTCCGCGCACCGTCCACTCGCCGCGCGGCGGTGCGTGCGGCTCCATCCAACGTCTTTCGCTAAAGGCGTGCGTGGCTTGTGCACAGACACCCACGTACGTCTGTCGTTATAAACACAAGCACGCGCGCGCGTGTGTGTGTGTGCCTGTCGCCATCAGCAGCCATGGTGTATCCACCGCTGTATATGTGAATCTGTATAATAAATAAATAAACGAGTGTCTACGTGTGGATGTGCTATACCGCAAACACAAAATGCGCTATCGTGCGTGCACGTTTCGAATTCGTAATAAACGACGGCGAAATGCTCCCCGTTCGTTTGTGGCACCCATCCACACGCACGGGCTCCGTGGCGCGTGTTAACGATGTGCGAGGCAGCGCGCGGTTACCATGAGCAGAGCTGCTCCTGCAGGGCCGCGCAGACCCCAACCGACGTCGTCAGAGTAACTCGCTCCTTCATGTCCGTCTCGCCCATCCTCCTCGCACCCTATTCACAACGATCCTCGCATCCGCGGCAGTGCCGCATTCCATTTACCGTACATCGGACGAGTTCAGCAGCCAGATGAGAGCGCTTCACCCACGCAGCTTACATTGTGTGCGTCTCACATCCCCCCCCTCCCTGCTCTTCCCCCTCTCTCAACCAAAAAGCCGTCCCTCCCCCATTCCCCGCCCCCTCTATTGCTCCCTCACTTCCCACACGCGCACTCACGCTAAACAACGCTCCAACAATGCGGCCAGGGGCCACATTCCAGGGATGGATTGTGGGGCCAGATTCCAGGGATGGATTATGGGGCTGGATTTGAGGGTTGGATTGTAGAACTGGATTTGAGGGTTGGATTGTGGCGCTGGGTTTGGGGGTGAGATTTTGGGACTGGAGTTGGTGGTTAGATTGTGGGGCTGGTTTTGAGGGTTGAATTTTAGAGATGGGTTTGGATTTTGAAACTGGGATTGGGGGTTCGATTTTGTGACTGGGGTTGGTGGTTGGATTGTGGGGCTAAGTTTGAGGGTTGGATTTTGGGCCTGGGGTTTCAGGGTTAAAACGTGGGGCGAGATTTTTGTCCAGGATACTGGATATCTGTGAAAAAGAGCTTAATAGCTAATCGGATTTCTCCAGGATAAATAAAGATTCTAATTTTGTTCACTCGTCATTGCGATCACTCAAGCGTCAAAATGTTATGAATTATCTCCTAGCAGGCACGCGACCATAAATGGCAAAGTTGCACAAGACATGTTTGCCTTTGCAGCATTCTGTAAGCCAAATGGAGGAAGCTGTCGAAATTATATTATTCAGACAAGCGTGCGCCTAAAGGGACCACGAAGGGTATCTAATATATTCAAATACTGTAATACTATATTACCAGATATTATAAGTGCATGAAGTGTGTGTTTCTCACGTGACACACTACGTACTATATCGCAATGGCCTGCGCCAGTTTGGTCCACGTTCCGTAGGGAGTCTTTATCTCGACAATGCAGGGCTGAGGAATGTCTCGCCCCTATAAACCACCCAGGCAGCGGCAAATATATAATTAATTGCAGTAAATGAGCACAGCGCTTCCATATTGTGACTAGACTTGCGCTTAATAATTAACTGGCAATTATGTACAGCATAAGCACACTCATAATGGCGTTCCTTGTCTTGTGTAGCAGGTAGCGCGCGTGTGTCTTATATGCAGGGAGGTAACACAATTACTTTGGGGAGCAGAATTCCAATTAGTACCTGAGTTGGCTTTGGTGAAGGTCCATCCATGGAAACGTCACTTCATTTAATCACAACTGTCTTTTCGCGAGATTCACGGGACCAGTGACTTAATACCAACATTGCATCCAAGATTGTAAATTCACACCGATTGCAACTTAATTAGAAAACAACTACAATTTCCCCATTCCATATCCCCAATGCAAATAAGCAACTCTTCCTAATGGGCTCTTCATCATCATCAGCCATGGTCAACCCAGTGCTGGATGCCCCCCCCACATGCCGCCGCCAGCTATAATGATGTTGCCATGTAATTTCACCTAGCCACCTGGGGTTCTATTACCTTGAGAATAAAAAAGAAACAACAAAATAACAAAATATATATAAAACAATAAAAAATTCTCACGACGTTTCGACCATAACTCAAACGGTCATCATCACCTGATTTGTACAACATTCGATGCAACTTTATATTCTCATCATTCTCTTTATCACTTCTTTTTTTATTTTTTGACTTAAAGCTTTCGTGACTGCAGTAATTCATATTCTTAGTTTTTTCGGTAAAGTCACGTTGAAGAAACAACAAAATAACAAAATATATATAAATATATATATTTTGTTGTTTCTCTTCAATGTGACTTTACCGAAAAAACTAAGAATATGAATTACTGCAGTCACGAAAGCTTTAAATAAAAAAATAAAAAAGAAGTGATAAAGAGAATGATGAGAATATAAAGTTGCATCGAATGTTGTACAAATCGGTCCCGCTGGTTGGAACAAAAACCACGGCGTTGCTGCTCAACCCTAACCCTTGTCCGCACGACCTCGGAATGTGAACACCACCCATGCGAGGAAAAGCGACTACTGCAGCGGCTACGATGAAGAGCTATCCCATTAACCAGAACCGTAACCAACTCGCCAATCAACCACTAGAATGAGTCCCCCCAGTAAACATGTTAAGGTGGGATCAACGTTGGCATGTGGTTGGATCTGTCATGTTCGGCAGCTAACTTTGACCCGTAATATAGCGAATGTTGTAAATGCCTGTCCCTCGCCCTTCCCCCACGGCCCTTGCACACAGCCCCTGAACGCACAGTGTCGAGCGCTCCAACCTTTATTTACCTGCTATCACTCGTTTATTATATTTTATAACACCAAGAATATTGGTCGAAGTACAACATTTTCACGAAGATATTATGCCGCCGTGGCGAGATATTATCTCGCGCGTCTGATACGCAGGGAGACGTGGGTTCGATCCCGACCCTGACGCCTGTGTGTTTGGAGTTTGCATGTTCACTCTTCCCCATATATATTTGACATATATGATAAGCCACTTTGATGAGCTATTGTGTGGCCAGGTCGCTTTTGAAAAATAGTTTTACCGGGAGGAAATACATACAAACTCTACTTTATATAATAATTTGCAACATCGAGCAAACATCCATTCTCACGTGATTCGATGCTTGTATCTTGAGCCTTAACCGATATGAATGGAATGAACCGTTGTTGTTGTTAAACCCACAGCAGACACACGTGAGCTTTTGCCAGTTATTCGAGAATGGCGGCACCATAGCGCCACCCGCAGTCCATAGTTCTGCAATGACCGAATGTATCGCAACGAGTCACCATACAGAACGAGGTCCCATTCATAGTACATGAACCAGAGCCAAAATTGGTACCACCTCAGGTATAGCAGCATCTTTTGCAGTGGTTTGCTTGATAAACCAATAATTTAACATGGTTATCACATATTGGCCACACGAAGAAACTGGAACCAAATTTTGATTTATTGTTTCCCTTCAATGTGACTTTACCGAAAGAACCAAGAATATGAAACTGGAACCACTAAACTCATGGCACCTCAGGTAAAACGTCTGGGCCCATGGATTATCTGTGACTGCAAACAGCATTGTACAATTAAGTTTTAAACACTGCTATTTGCGCATATGCAAAAGGCCATCAGAAATGCATTAAGTGCATTGTGGTCTTATATTAGGCCACCAAAATATATTAGTAAATATGACCAACTTACAGGCAGGAGTGATGCAGTTCACAGACGTTTTTAAATAGATAAGAAAATTGGACCGAGATGCTACTTAAGTGTTTTTTTCTGACAATGTGACATTGTTCCGTGTTGAAATTGCTTAATGTCATTTATACTTAAGTCTTATTAGAAAAATGGTCACGAATAAAGCCGACTCAATCGCAAATCAGCCCCTATGGATTAACTGAATTTTAAACAGGCCGAAAATATTCTGTTCTAGAATTAAGACGGTGTATAAGCTACCGATTTTGGAAATGTACTTTCTTCAGAGCACGGCATTGTCAGCAGTGTTGTATTGTATATTTTCTCTTTTGTGCTGCGAATAAGAGATTTTGCCCGGAACGTTTGCTCTTACTGTGCAGCAAAAGTTACAGATTATCTGCTTTTAACAGTCAAGTTCATGACGATGGGGATTACATTCATACATCGTGATTTTCAATCACTGACAGCAAAGCTCCTTGCGTTTTAAACTGAACACGCAAATACATTCATACATTTATATAAATTAACATTCATATACATCTGTAGTGGCATAGTACTGGCTGCTGGCGAAAAAGGGGAACTGCAGTGTACGGTAGTATTGAAGTCAGCAGGCCATGATCGACACGAGAGGCGGACATCTAGGGGAAAGGTCACAGAGGGGGGGCCACATGGAAGCCTCGGTAACCCACTAGTAGGTTCCAGAAAGGGCAGAGCGAGGGACCTCGTGGCAGTTGCTGGAGTAGGATCCCCGTCGTGTTGTTCAAGATCATCGCTATCGTCACTGTTGTCTCATCGCCATTGTCGCTGTCGTCTTCACTCGATATTGCCCTACTAGGTAGTTGTTGTCTGTCTCGGTTCAGCGCCATCAGTGTTAGACGGTTAGTGTTTTTGTATAGACTAACAACCCACGTAGAGTTGTGTATAGGCGAGTGACTGTAGAGTGTGTACCCACGTAGGGTGTGTATTATCCCGATGGTGTTCGTTAAATAAAAGTGCCTCCAAGTCTTATCGTCTCCGAGTTAGTCACTTCACATCTATATAAATCCACATTGTATGACTGAAAGATCGCAAAGAAACACACTGATCAGAGAACAAACACCAATCTGAGACATTGACAATTAAGACGAGTAAATGGGCTTGGACAGGAACATGTCGCAAGACGGAATGACGTCCGATGGGCCGATCAGATCAGTTCACGTGTGAGGAGTGAGGCGTTGGATTCACCGCGTGTCACGTCACAAAGCGTCACCTTGATGGACGACGGCTGCCTCCTGATCATTCGAGGGCCCTAAATGGCGGCCTCATCGTGCCCTGGGGTGTTTGCACATGACGCGAAGAGTTAAATGTGTGCTCAACTCGTAAAGATAATTCTAAAACTGATAATACCACGATGGTATAAGGCGATCGAGCAGCCTTTACGCCTTGTTTTAATGGAATGTGGCCCACCTTTATACCATCGTGTCGTTCCAGATTGCTGAAGGCTATACTGTACTGCGGTGAAGAATGTGGTCGATTCAGCAGTTGATTATGCAAATGTATAGGGCTTCCCCACGCCATATAAGTCGTGGGGGTGATATGACCATATTTCACCTCGCTGGTCAGTGTGGGTAGATGATGGCAGGGAGCATAGACGTTGAAGCATAGTACAGTATGCACTGCCCTCTGTAAGCCTATATCCTCAGCAAGATATTCCATTGTAAAGGGCTTGCAGCAGGCTAAATACATTACTGTATGCCGTTATTGTGCTTGTTATTACCAGACTAGTGTAATTTAAGGCGCTTGCAATTTTTTTTACATGGGCTAACCCTATACGCATAACAGGATACACAAATTAGGTGAAAACCAACAAAGTGAAACATAAATCAATGCGAAATATTCACTGAGAGGGAGCATATTCTTTGGGCACTTTACTG